TCCCCGTCCTTTGACCTTGAATTTGACCTTGAAGTTTGACCTTGATGAAAATGGTTTTCGATGTGCGGCTAGAACTTTGCACGCGCTACATTTTGGTGCCAAAATTTTGAAAATCGGACAATATTTAGTAGCACTTTTTCAGTTCCCCGTCTTTTGACCTTGAATTTGACCTTGAAGTTCAATGTTTATGGGTGAATGGGTTCGAGTTTCGTGATCCTCATGGTCCAATTGACCTTGTACGAGGTTTTGGCTAAAATCGGTGCTCGTCGCTGGAAAAGTCGCTGGTGACGTAGCATTTTTTTAAGTTCCCCATCCTTTGACCTTGAATTTGACCTTGAAGTTTGACCTTGATGAAAATGGTTTTCGATGTGCGGCTAGAACTTTGCACGCGCTACATTTTGGTGCCAAAATTTTGAAAATCGGACAATATTTAGTGGCACTTTTTAAGTTCCCTGTCCTTTGACCTTGAATTTGACCTTGAAGTTTGACCTTGATGAAAATGGTTTTCGATGTGCGGCTAGAACTTTGCACGAGCTACATTTTGGTGCCAAAATTTTGAAAATCGGACAATATTTAGTGGCACTTTTTCAGTTCCCCGTCATTTGACCTTGAATTTGACCTTGAATTTTGACCTTGATGAAAATGGTTTTCGATGTGCGGCTAGAACTTTGCACGAGCTATATTTTGGTGCCAAAATTTTGAAAATCGGACAATATTTAGTGGCACTTTTTCAGTTCCCCGTCCTTTGACCTTGAATTTGACCTTGAAGTTTGACCTTGATGAGAATGGTTTTCGATGTGCGGCTAGAACTTTGCACGAGCTACATTTTGGTGCCAAAATTTTGAAAATCGGACAATATTTAGTGGCACTTTTTCAGTTCCCCGTCATTTGACCTTGAATTTGACGTTGAAGTTTGACCTTGATGAAAATGGTTTTCGATGTGCGGCTAGAACTTTGCACGCGCTACATTTTGGTGCCAAAATTTTGAAAATCGGACAATATTTAGTGGCACTTTTTCAGTTCCCCGTCCTTTGACCTTGAATTTGACCTTGAAGGTCAATGTTTAGGGGTGAATGGGTTCGATTTTCGTGATCCTCATGGTCCAATTGACCTTGTACGAGGTTTTGGCTAAAATCGGTGCTCGTCGCTGGAAAAGTCGCTGGTGACGTAGCATTTTTAAAGTTCCCCGTCCTTTGACCTTGAATTTGACCTTGAAGTTTGACCTTGATTAAAACGGTTTTCGATGTGCGGCTAGAACTTTGCACGCGCTACATTTTGGTGCCAAAATTTTGAAAATCGGACAATATTTAGTGGCAATTTTTCAGTTCCCCGTCCTTTGACCTTGAATTTGACCTTGAAGTTTGACCTTGATGAAAACGGTTTTCGATGTGCGGCTAGAACTTTGCACGAGCTACATTTTGGTGCCCAAATTTTGAAAATCGGACAATATTTAGTGTCACTTTTTCAGTTCCCCGTCATTTGACCTTGAATTTGACCTTGAAGTTTGACCTTGATGAAAATGGTTTTCGATGTGCGGCTAGAACTTTGCACGCGCTACATTTTGGTGCCAAAATTTTGAAAATCGGACAATATTTAGTGGCACTTTTTCAGTTCCCCGTCATTTGACCTTGAATTTGACCTTGAAGTTTGACCTTGATGAAAATGGTTTTCGATGTGCGGCTAGAACTTTGGAGGAGCTACATTTCGGTGCCCAAATTTTGAAAATCGGACAATATTTAGTGGCACTTTTTCAGTTCCCCGTCCTTTGACCTTGAATTTGACCTTGAAGGTCAATGTTTAGGGGTGAATGGGTTCGATTTTCGTGATCCTCATGGTCCAATTGACCTTGTACGAGGTTTTGGCTAAAATCGGTGCTCGTCGCTGGAAAAGTCGCTGGTGACGTAGCATTTTTAAAGTTCCCCGTCCTTTGACCTTGAATTTGACCTTGAAGTTTGACCTTGATGAAAATGGTTTTCGATGTGCGGCTAGAACTTTTCACGCGCTACATTTTGGTGCCAAAATTTTGAAAATCGGACAATATTTAGTGGCCCTTTTTAAGTTCCCCGTCCTTTGACCTTGAATTTTACCTTGAAGTTTGACCTTGATGAAAATGGTTTTCGATGTGCGGCTAGAACTTTGCACGAGCTACATTTTGGTGCCAAAATTTTGAAAATCGGACAATATTTAGTGGCACTTTTTAAGTTCCCCGTCCTTTGACCTTGAATTTGACCTTGAAGTTTGACCTTGATGAGAATGGTTTTCGATGTGCGGCTAGAACTTTGCACGAGCTACATTTTGGTGCCAAAATTTTGAAAATCGGACAATATTTAGTGGCACTTTTTCAGTTCCCCGTCATTTGACCTTGAATTTGACCTTGAAGTTTGACCTTGATGAAAATGGTTTTCGATGTGCGGCTAGAACTTTGCACGCGCTACATTTTGGTGCCAAAATTTTGAAAATCGGACAATATTTAGTGGCACTTTTTCAGTTCCCCGTCTTTTGACCTTGAATTTGACCTTGAAGTTTGACCTTGATGAAAACGGTTTTCGATGTACGGCTAGAACTTTGCACGAGCTACATTTTGGTGCCAAAATTTTGAAAATCGGACAATATTTAGTGGCACTTTTTCAGTTCCCCGTCATTTGACCTTGAATTTGACCTTGAAGTTTGACCTTGATGAAAATGGTTTTCGATGTGCGGCTAGAACTTTGCACGCGCTACATTTTGGTGCCAAAATTTTGAAAATCGGACAATATTTAGTGGCACTTTTTCAGTTCCCCGTCCTTTGACCTTGAATTTGACCTTGAAGTTTGACCTTGATGAAAACGGTTTTCGATGTGCGGCTAGAACTTTGCACGAGCTACATTTTGGTGCCAAAATTTTGAAAATCGGACAATATTTAGTGGCACTTTTTCAGTTCCCCGTCATTTGACCTTGAATTTGACCTTGAAGTTTGACCTTGATGAAAATGGTTTTCGATGTGCGGCTAGAACTTTGGACGAGCTACATTTTGGTGCCAAAATTTTGAAATTCGGACAATATTTAGTGGCACTTTTTCAGTTCCCCGTCCTTTGACCTTGAATTTGACCTTGAAGGTCAAGGTTTAGGGGTGAATGGATTCGATTTTCGTGATCCTCAGGGTCCAATTGACCTTGTACGAGGTTTTTTCGAAAATCGGTGCTCGTCGCTGGAAAAGTCGCTGGCGACGTCGCCAACTTCACGGACATACCGTTCAGGCGTTGAGATTGGTAAAACCCTACATTACTTTAGCGGTGGTCTGTACCTACTACGAATACCCGGCAGGATCCCGACTGGTTAACCTGACCTGACCTGACCTGGCTTAAATGCATGAAGACAGAGTCATCTATGATCAAAACTAGCATGACATTCGTGATCAGCACCCCGAAGCAGCCAGCTACGCTTTGCCAGCCCAATTGAAGCCACACTTAACGACGTTTTAACAGTCCCCGATTTTCCCGACTTTTTGGTCATTGGTCAACCAATGACCTAAGACCTAAAAATTGGGTAACATCGGCTTCCTCCCGTCACGGGCACTGGGCAGCGCATTCTTTTTTCTCGCGAAGCTCTAGCTCAATCAGGGGCCAAACGGCAAGACGGGGGTCCAACGGAACCCCCCCCCCACCCACCCACCCACCCACCCTATTGCTATACGTTCGCGGCTGGCGAAGCACCGTATACGGGCGAGGGCTGGAAAGAGCTATCAATCGGACCCTTCCCCCTTCTAACATCTATAGCTAAGAATTAAGCAAGCCGCTTAGGCACTGCTTGGTTGCCACGTGACTCAGGAGTCAGGAGCCAGGAGTGAGAGGGGGACGTGAAATCCTAGAAGAAAAGTGATGATCGGACCACCGCACCCTCACAGAGTCACAGCACAAGTAAAGAACGAGTGATGACCGTAATGTCACGAAACTAGAGAATTTGCGGAGCAGCGACTGTGAGCGCGGAGCCGTACGGTGTAAATACAACGTTCGCCCATAGATGGCACTAGTTGTAGGCGCCTGAAACTATGCTGCACCGCAGTGCTCATTCGCGGTATCCACTCAGGTTACGCCACAGGCGAGTGAAGCATTTTCCGACTCTACTAAAAATACATCTAAACGTAGCACGGCTGAACCAATAATTGTTCACAGGGTGTCACAACTCACAATAATCGCAAGGTGTCACCTGTCACATGACCTACCACATTTTCCCAAATGGCGACTTCATTATTGCCATATCTTTCGTTCTGGCGGCAGTTGGGGATCGAGGGGATGTGTATGTATGACATTCCCTTGCCGTTTCGTCCCTTACCAATCTAGTCTCGCCAGGGAAAACGAGCTTATGGGCGGCTTTACAAGTAGCGAAAATACCTGGCTTGGAGGTATTAGGGTAAGTACCGGTGTCTGAGGTCGGATCAGCCGTTCGTTTCCTGACAAATAACTTCGACAAAATAGTCGTAGAGCGGCGATTATAGTGGATGGTAGCTACCATAGCCTTTCAACGTCCAACCCCGCCGAATAATTTACTTTTTTGTTTTAGGAAAGGTCAACACCTCACATGTTTATCTCAGATTTAGGTCAGGTCAAAGCCGCAAAACCAGGAAGCTGGTCAAGGGAGGGCATGCTCAAGCTACATATCAATTTCATTCGACAGCTGATTGTGAGACCATTTGGAGTACTTCGAAACTCCCTATGGTTGTACATTGTTACTGCAGAAAAACCGATGATCTCAGATGATCTTAGTGAAATGCAAGGGTCTAGAAGAGTCGAGGCACCGGGTGTAGCACATATGGGATGAGTATGAGGCACTTGGGCATTGAACTCTGTACTGTGGGCGGTTCAAATAGTCTGACCACCACGTTCCTGGTTAAAGTCCACCTGGTTATGTGATGCCCCAGTCGATCCGATATGCACAGTAAGGTTTCCGATACCATGAGTATCGTGTTCCTCAGTGCATAGTGCCTTACTCCGGACAATACGCAGCTCAAATACTTTAGGTGATGAATATCAAAACGTACATTGTTCAGCACACAAACTCGTGGTGACAACGAAATGGTACAAACGATCACGAAGTCGCGAAGGAAGGGGGCGATGTGCCCATCTTTACACGCTATGCCTTCCCTCCCTCTACGCAAATGCTTCAAGCAAACTGCTTCTGGATTACAAGAACATCGGTCAAATGACATGACGAAATCGCACGAGTGACCAAGCTTACAATACAAGCGCAACCACGCACAAAACCCATCAAGACAACCAAGTAAACTGAATTCCTGAAATGATATATGTCGCTATAGCTTGGTAGCTACACCACTGCAGGTCATACGTAGAAATGTGTCATTCCACATCTTCGCTCGGCTCTAAATGCAATGAAACTTAATGAATGCCAGTTAGAAAGTTCCAGATGAAATATGCCAGAAGCGGACGTGAATTGAACCTCCCCTTTCGTTGCATCATAGTTTGCGCTACGCAGTACGTCTATAACTACAGTGGCACACACCTACTCAGCTCTTCATTCCTTGTACATGGCCTTTATACAACGAAAAAAAAAAACAATGCACTTCAAATAATAATTCATACAAAGTGTCAGATAAGCACTCAATCGGCAGATAAGCGGAGCGTCCCGGGCTAGCAGGTTAACATGAGAAGGAGACATACACACAATCACTTTCCCCACAGTTCAACACTCTCCTTCTCTCACGGTCACGAGGGATGCAGTGTCCTTAGAAGCAGAGAGCATCCGAATGTCTGTCCTTCCTCAGACTGTTCCTCATTGAGTCCAGCACGACCTGTCCCATGTTGATCACACGATCAGCCCAGCGTCCTGGCCGAGCAGCTCTGTGGCCCGACAGCGACCAGTGGCAGACGCCGGTCGGGCTTCGAGAGTCCAGACCGCCGCTGGAGGCGCGTCATCGCACCTCCCGGGGTGCTGCTTGGGCCGCTGGAGTCGATCACACCTCGCACTCCACAATGATGATTTCCTTACACTCCGGGCCGACCACTGCTGTCACCACGTCCTCGGCAGGCGGCGGCGGCGGCGGCGGAGCGCCAGCCACCACCACCGGCTGGCCGGCGGGCGCGCTGCCCGACACCGGCACCAGGTGTGTGATCCCGCCGCTCAGCGGGCCGGCGGCTACCAGCCGCGTGCCCGGCGGCAGCGCCCCGCCGCCCTCCAGCCGCAGAGGGATGCGCGCGCTCTCCAGCGAGTGTTTGACGATGTCCTGCGCGGGCGCTCCGTGCGGCGGGCGCGGCGCGATGCGGGCCGGCGCGCGGCGCGACTGGTAGGTGCGCAGTCCGTCGCGCCGCGCCCGCGCCGCCTCCTCCTCCTCCAGGCGCTCGTGTACCTCCTCGTGCCGTCGCAGGTGGCCCAGGTAGCCAAACTGTCGGCCGCACGTGCAGCACACGTACGGCCGCTCCTGCGTGTGACTCCGTACGTGGTCCTGCAGCTCCGAGCGGCCGTGGAACGTCTTGGAACACATGTAGCAGCCGTAGTTGCGCTCCTTCAGATGGATTCTCTTGATGTGACCCTGGAAACACCGATAACACGAAGTGAGATAGAGGTAACATTACATGTTATGTGCTGTGCGTTCCAATAAACTGGTAGCTAGGTATCTTCTTACAACAATAAAAAACATAATATATGAAAAGGTTCTCAATGTAACTGAGAGAACTTCAACACAAAATCAAACACGGAAACGATTTGCTTTCTTCAAGTCTAGACACTGGCTGATGACATGTTGCGACACAGACCATTACCATCTGACACGCCACACATCGCACCCCTGTCAATCTGCCGCATTGCCACATCGCACCACACATCTGCACCTTCCTGTCACTCTACCACACAGTCATGTCGCTGTCATATGATACTTCACACACACTCGCCACCCTTCCCGACCACTCACCCGCAGTGAATCCGGCATGAACGTCTTCTTACAGCCGGGCGCGGGACACGGCACACGTTTGATGCTGTCCGTGTGCATTTTCAGCACGTGTCGGTCGCGAGTCTGCTGCCAGGCGAAGGTCAAGTCGCACTTGTCGCACTTGAAGCGCTGCAGCGTGGCGTCGTGCATTGCCTCGTGCTGTCGTAGGTTGGAGAGGCGGGAGAACATACGACCGCAGGTGGAGCACGGGAACTGCTCGGCCGAGTCCGGCGAGCCGGCGCCGCCGCGCGCCACGTCCTCAATCACCTGAGGGAGAGACGAGGGGCGGAGGGAGAGAAAGAACTGTCAGTCATGGGAGTCACTCGACCGGAGTTGAGGTTGGTAATTGAAATCGGTAATGAGGAGTGTGAGAAGAGTTGGTTGAGGAGAGGCGATGGTTGAAAGTTCAGCAGACACCTGGTCCTGAAAACTCTGGTTGACGGCGAAAGTAAACCACGGAGATAGGTAGGCATGGCATCCGGGTAGGTGTTCGAGTAGTTGGTTATCGAAGACAAACACCTTAATTTAAGTTAGTGGTTCAGCCAAACATACAAGCCGGCTGTGACAGTAAAAGAGTCGCGGTTCTTCGATCTCCTTACAATTAACCCGCGCGGGGCTGGGGTCTCCAGCCGAACGCGCGGGGCTGGGGGGGGGGGGGGGGGTAAATTTTACCCCCCTGTTATCTCCCGAACTAATGGTCCGATTTGGAAAATTCAAGCGCCAATCGAAAGCTCTCATCACGAACTACTAAAAACATGTACTTAATTTAAAGTTTGAGGTCAAGGTCAAGGTCAGGTCAAGGGTACAAATTGCAAGTTTCTACAGTATCGGCCTTGCACCGTAGTTGCCGAAGAATGGAGTCATGGACTGAGACTGATCGCCCAAAACGTGTTCTTAGGCTACCAAGACAATATTCGTTGCATACAATATCATTCAGAGGTCAAGGTCAAGGTCAGGTCAGGTCAAGTCAGGTCACCAAAAAACAAAATATAGAAAAGGGCATGTGCGACACATGTTTTATGGGTAATTTTACTCATAGAATTCAATAGGCACACTCAATAAGTGATATGGACCACCTCTGGATGAATTTCAGGTCGAGGTCAGGTCAAGGTCAGGTCAAGTGAGGTCAAATTTTGAAGTTGGTTGTTAAGGCCTAAAAAGGTGTCTATCTGATGCAGTTTTTCACGGCGAATCGAATGGTGCTATTTTTGTTTCCGTACGAGGTCTAGAACTTCCAAAAAAGTCATTTTTCAAAAATTTTGTGTGTCGTGACGTCATAACATTTTGAAAAACTCCCACATTTTTGAACCGATTCTTCTAAAATTTGGTATGTAGGTGCACATAGACCACTTCTCTGACATATATTCCGGTTTTTTCGATAGACTCAAAATTTTGGATTTTATAATGATTTTCCCAAAAAAGTCAATTTTTTGAAAAAATGTAGGAAAAATCCAAAATTTTCTAAAAACCGAGATAGCCATTTGATAGACAAAGTAAAATTACGTATAACCTTTTTTGTTACGTCTTGATTCCTTTAAAAATGAAGATGTTAGCGGCGTTTGAACTTTTGCCGTTTTTGAGGCGAAAATGGCGAACATGACGTCACTAAAACGTCAATTTCTCAAAAATTTTCCGACGGATTTCGCTCAAATTTTCAGGGAACGTGTCAAATTGATGTAAGAAAAGGTACTGAAAGTTTGGCGGCGCTGCGCGCCGCCGTTTTTGAGATATCGCAAAAATTCGCGAGGGGGGGTAAAATTTACCCCCCCCCCAGCCCCGCGCGGGTTAAGCACTGTATTAACCCTATTAGTGGCAGGGGGGGGGGGGTTGTTTTTATCCACCCCTCAGGTTTTTCGGGAATATCTCCGAAACCGCTAAAGCTACGATGCTGAAATTTTCTGACTTTTCCTAAAACTAAATTGGGCACATTCCCTGAAAATTTCAAGTTCATAACTTTACCAGGGGCGGCTCCAGAGCACGTCTGGGAATTGGGGGGGTCCTATTCGTGAAGCGAGTCATTTGGGCGAAGATCACGATGCTGCACCAGTTTTACGAACAGTGAATGAAAGGTATCATGTGATAACATATACAGTTATTGTGCATCCTCTTTTGACACGTTTTTGCTATAATAGGCGGATCCAGGCATCCAAAAAGGGGGGTTATGTTTTACCTCCCAACATAGGTGCCCTGACACCGCCTATGCATGACCAATACAATTGTAGTCGTTCTCCCATAAGAAAATTGTAACATAACAAGACCATTACCACCCTTTTTAGAAACAGTACCAACAAAAACCTTATTTACTATACTTTTTGTGTACCCCCAATCTAAATGATCTGTATCCGCCTATGATTTTTGAAAATGCATATTTTTAGGATCCATGTGAATTCCTGGTTCATTCTCTATCGATCGGCAAAAGTTGCGTTAAGATTGGTTCAGAAACCTGGCCGTGATAAACAGTCTAAAATGTATCTGCAATTTGCCCGTTTTTACCCCCCTCTATCCCAAGATTCCTCTATCCCCCCTATTGACATTTTTTAATTTTTATTTTTTAGAAATGTAGATCACGTTGAGCGAAATCGAATGCCGTTTGAATTTTAAAAATCGGCCCGTTAGATCTCGAGATATCAAGGGGGGTCGTAAACAGCCCCCCCCCTGCCACTAATAGGGGTAGCCAGGAGCCTGCCACTAAAAGGGTTAAGCACTTACAGCATATTGTATTGATAAGTTTTAACCATCACATTTGTACTGACGCAGAAGCTATATAATACATGTCATGGAAGGTCTTAATACATTATCTATCTATCTATCTATCACTAAAAACACCGAAGCTTAACCATAGCGGTTTAATTGATCTAGAGCGTATAGGAAACCCGTAAGATCAGTTCAACCAGACTTTACAACCGGAAGATAGGAATTTACACAGCCGTTCTAAGAGAAATTCCCAAAACCTCGCAGTCCACACAGCTGTTAACCGTTATAAGAAAAACTCGCATTTACAAGGCCACCAGCTCCCACCTTATCCAGATGCTGCTCCTCCCCATCCTCCGCCTCGCACTCCTTCTTCTCGGGCTCCTCGGGCTCCGGCGGCGGCGGCGGGGTGGGCGGCGCCGGCGGCGAGCCCAGCCGCTCCGTCTCCGTCAGGTAGAGGATCTCGTTGACATCGTACTGGGTGCCGACGCTCTGTACGGCCACCAGCTCCTCCATAAGGTTATCCACCTCGGTGGAGCGGTCAGCGGCCGCCAGCAGGCCGGCCGGCTCCTCCTGGGGAGCGGGGTAGATGGCGCATCAGACAGGGAGACATTGGAGTAAAGACAAATGATCGGTACCAAAATACGTAGTACAAAACCTGCGCTGAGTACAAGACAGTTGGTTCTGAGGCAACAGTCCTGCCAACATGGAAAATCTATGGCTGGAAAACATTACAACGACGATCAAACGTCACGCTCTAAAGAAACCAATAGTTACAGAAAACACCAAATCAGACAATCGGTCTGAGCGTCTTTACGCTGCAGCTACCCGACCCACCTCCTTCCTCTCCCTGCTGTCGGAGAGCATGAAGGACGACCTGGGCCGGGCCGGCTGCTCGGTGGCGGCGCTCTCCTTCGTCACCGGTTCCTCCACGTCACTGAGGTCGACCACCGTCTCCTCCTCCTCCTCTTCCGCCGCTCTGCCCGCAGCGCTGCACGCGTGCCGGGTCAGCTCCTCGGCCGAGGGGAACGCCTCCTGGCAGACGGCGCAGCGCAGACTGTCCGCCGGGTGGTCGGCCAGGTGGCGGCGCAGCTTGGCCCGCGAGTCGAGCCGCGCGCCACACACACCGCAGTGGAACCGGCGCCCGGCCTGCGACTGACGGCGCATCGGCTGCTGGAAGGGGCAGAGGGCACAGGTGAGGTGAAACTATAACGATGCTACATATTTTCGCTTTGGAAGTGAAGAGTAGGTAGAGCAGTAGGCAGCGCACGACAACATATAAATGTAGCGTGTAATATATTATAATAGCTTCTAGTCGATCATTATTGATGCCTATTACCGGATGCGGTGATTTTATGAAATCATCACCGAGGGATAAAAAGGGGCTGCAGCCTGCAAACAACTGAAACTTTTTCTAACTCGACAAATCGCAATGACTATGAATTAGTATCTTACTCTCTGTTTGCAAAGCTTACAATTTACATACATACCATGTTTTAATCCCTATTTATACAAATATCATTGCATATTTCCCTCCCCGTTTACAACTTTACACTCCAAATGCAGCTGCCGTCGACTTAACCACAGCGTTAAAGTAACCCAGGCTTACCTGAACCTCCGACTGATGCATCAGTCGAATGTGACCAGCCAGCTGTGAGCGGTTGCGGAACTTCTTCGGACAGAACGGGCACATGTGCATCGACTTGACCTCGTGCGTTTCGGCGTGGGCGCTGAGTGCGTTGGCCTGGCTGAAGCGTTTGCCGCACACGGAGCATACGTACGGCCGCTCGCCTGGCAGATGGGAGGCACGAGTCAGGGGTGGGTTCATTGGGGGCAGTACGCCTGAGGATCAGCGGCAGACAAGCAGAAATGAAAACCTTCGAAAGTCCAACAAGTAACAAACAGGTTTGATAATACTTTTGTATATTTAGTCCAAAGATTTTGAATGGAAGGATTCACAAGGACACCAATGCATATATGAAAAAACTATCGATAGGTGGTAGCGCAAAAGATCAAAGATTTTGCCAGACAATACACGCTAAAATAAGTCATTGGCTTCGCTCACATACGAAGCTAAATCTGCATCAGGCCTCAGGGCTCAGAGCAAACCTAGAAACATAAAATTGCAATAAGGAACTATCCAAGTTGTCACAATTATGTCAAGATATAATACCAATACCCCGTGACGTGCCCCTCCCCAATCGCCCGCCGGCAGTCTGTGCCACTCACCGGTGTGGATGCGCCTGTGACGGTACAGGTTGGACATGTGCGAAAACTGCCTCCCGCACACATCGCACACACTCTTCTTGATGCCCAGATGGAGGTTCATGTGGCTCTTGAGGTCGGCGCGCCGCAGGAACTCCCGTCCACAGAAGGCGCACGGGTAGATGGTGCCTCCGTGCTCGTTGGCGCGGTGGCTCACCAGGGAGTAGGCCGAGTCGAACAGGCGGCCGCAGTCGGCGCAGGGCGGCACCGGCGGCTCGCACTCCTCCCCATCCTCGCCCTCCACCGTGCCGGCCGCCACTGTACAGTCGTCGCAGTAGCCGCCGGCGCCCTTGCCCGGCGGACCGCCGCACGCCCGGCAGCGCGGCGGCCGGGCGGGCGGCCGGCTGGAGCGGCGGGACGGGATCAGCGCCTCGCGCACCGCCAGCCGCGTCTCGATCTTGGCCGGCCCGTCGGCGGCCACGGGCGCGCTGTGGAGGGTCACCTGGTTCGACTCGGTGTCTCCTCCGTCGCCCAGGTCAGAGTCTAACAGGGTGAACAGCAGCACCTTCCTGCCATCGCCGGCTGCGGCCGCCGCGCTCTCCGCGTCCAGAGCAGAGCCGGCGTCCACCTGCAGCGTGCCGGCGCTGGTGCCAGAGCCCTCCGCGTCGAGAAACATCACCTCCGGGGCGACAGACGAAGCCTTCGTCTCAGCAGTCCCAGCTTCAGCGGTCATGGGCTCGCTATCTGTGGCCATCATTGAGGTCTCAGCTGGTGCTGTCCCAGTCTCAGCAGCCACATCATCAGCCTCCATAGCGTCAATGTCAGAAGGCAACCCACCAGCCTCTGCAGCCTCAATAGTTTCGCCAGCTTCAGTGTCAGCATAAACAACAATAGTCTGTGTTTTCATAATGCCTGCGTTAGAATCCGCCGCCTCCGTTTCTGTCACAGAGGTCTCAGTGTCAGTGAGAACTGCCTCTCCGTCCCCAGCAGTGCCAGAGGAGGGCGTGATGGTGATTGATGTGTTAGAGACCAGGGCCTGTGTGTCATCATCTTCAGAGGGTGCGGTCAGCGACAGCCCCTCTTCACTCCAGCTGACGTCTTCAGACATTGCGATGGCAGCTGTCTGCACGTTATCTGAAATACGGTAAAATATGATGTTGCGAATTTGAACTAAAAAATAATTACATTTAGGGACAAAAGTCAAAGGAAGGCTTATAAATAGATAAATTATGCAACTTTGGGGGAATGTAACAAATGTTGGGATTTCAGTTTAATCTCAAAATGTTTATTGAAAGTGGCCTTAATTTTTGTTCAGTTCATTCAGTGACACCTTACAAATAAAGTAGAGTTAACCATGATGTAGCTACCATATGTCAGAGGTTCGGGATTTTAGTTTTGAGGCCATAGTAGTTTATAAATGTGCAGGAAAATATGGCACTGCCACACTTCCCTATAAAAAAGTGTCATACGTGTGGAAGAGGTCCGAACGGTTCGATTCACTTTTCATAAATAAGCTTTGCATGCCTTACATTATATGACGTTCTGAATCCAAATCTGATACTCACATGGCGCAAATACCTATCATATTAAGCCCAAAACACCAACCCGTCCCACCCCTTCACCGCATAACACACACCGACGGAGTGGCACGACCGCATCAAACACCGCCGTTGCGACATTGCCATTGTGAAAACATATTTGCTGTCCATTTTCATGGTGTTATGAAAGTGACATCACAATTACAAAACACGAAAAAATGGTTAGAAAATGGGGAACTGTTGAGAATCAGGGTTTAATATGGGAGTGGAGGGATACAATTTACTTACCTCAGAGCTAGCAGCTGCGCTGCTGACTGTGGTGAGGGTAAATCTTCCTGGCAGCCTGCAGAAAGTGGTGCACGCTTTCCTCTGGTGGCACAGAGCTCAGGAAGACGTACCGGCCCAGGTACTGGTCGATGTATTTCGCCTTGTTACCGGGTCGGGAGCACCACTCCTTTACGTCCCTCCAGAGCCGTGTGATCTTTTGCGTCCTCACCTCCTTATCCACGGGGCTCACAAAGTTCTCCTTGTGGTTGACAGTACAATGCTGAAAACCAAGCTCGGTCAGACGACGATAAGCTGCCCCACTGTCTGTGTGGATGATTGTCCCTGCCAGCACGTGCCTTACAATGAGGGGTATGAGAGCTCCCTCAGCTTCATCCTCTCTTTGCTCTTCTGTGCTCAGTGGTTCTGGGAGAGGAACAATGAACTTTTTCTCACTATCACGTTCTATACCTCCCAAAAGCCAGACACGGCTTGGTTTGTGACCATGATTGATCTTTTCTTTGATGAAAAATGTCTGATCGATTTCTACGATCTTTCCAGGTCCGCCTATTGGCTCCTGATGGTCCAACCACCTTTGGCAGACCTCTGAACATAGAATTCTCCAGTCCACGCTTGTCTTCAATGTGATCCCCAGATTTCGAGAGGCAGCGCTGTGACACCACTTTTTCTGCACAAACAAATTAATAAATAACAGTACTTGCCATGCGTTGATGTGACTTCCTTCAAGAATAGTCCCTTTTTTGTCTGAGATGCTGAAGGAGCAAGAGCGCCGCTTCTTCTTTTTCGCCACTGGGACGTGAGCAGTGCAGCGCCACAGACCTCTGTCCTCATAAAATGTACACTCCTTATCACACAAAGGACAGGTGACACTTGACGGTAGAATTCCGTGCTCACGAAAAATGTGCTGGGCGCGCTCCTCGTTGTGGTATACAACTGACACTAGCTCATATTCCTCCCACTTGCATCCAGAGCAGTAGGATTCACCCGACACGGCATTCATGTTCACCACGAACTGACGGCAACAAAACACACTCTTTTCATACTGGATTTCGATATCAATATAAATCCCGGAGGTGTCCTCATCTTGATCCTGTCACGGGACAAAAAATGTCAGATGCAAGATTGAAAATGTTTTGCACAATTTTTACAGAAGCATTGAAAACAGAAAATCATTTTAAACATTTGAAAGTTACCTTACCTTACCTTACACTCATCGGGAATTTTGAAAGGCAACTCGCCTGTAGGGCCCGCTCTCGCCGAGCTCGTGACTGGTTGTCATCTCTAGTGGGTCATCTCTATCTCTAGATTAGGAATCTAATACATCAGATTGGCCTAATGCTTGTCGAGTCTGGATTTGAAGGCGTGGAGGGATGAGGCCTGGACAACTGATGCATGGACCACGGAGGGAGTTCCAGTCGTTGAGCGCTCGAACAGTGAATAGTCGTCTCCTGGCTCGTGACTTGGCATGTGGTTCGTACAGCTTCCATGAATGGCCACGGTTGGACCTCGTGGACGCAGGCTTGACGAACTTGTCCGAGTCGATATCGATCTCGTTATGCAGTAGCTGGTACATTCCAATCATGTCACCACGGCGTCTTCGGTGGAGCAACGAAGGAAGCTCAGACACTTCAGCCTCTCGGTATATGGCTTGCTCCTGATGCCGGGCACTAAACGAGTAGCGCACCCCTAGACTCGCTCCACAAGCTTGATTGATGTCTGCAGGATTGAACGGGCCCCATATCACATATGAGGTTGCCGAATTCAAGGTGGGGCCTGGCAAAAGACTTGTATAAAATCGTCAGGGTGATCCCGTCCAGATTCGAGAACGACCTCCGGATCAGAGATGGGATCCGTGAAGCCTTCGACACAGCAGAGGAAGCCCGCCTCCTGAACTTCAGCTCTGGGTGGATGACGACTCCCAAATCTCTCTCGGCTGAGGCGGAGGCGAGGCAGACACCGTTCATAGTCTACGAGTGACCAGAGTTCCTGACCCGACGTTCAAGGATGCTCGCTCGATCGCTCGGCTCCAGTCATCTAGGACTTCCAGCAGCTGAGCCGTGCAGGATCGGTGTGGGCGAAAACCTATGCTGGTGACGAGAACAGTCCATTCGTGGTGAGGTATACCATCAATTGGTCCCGTATCAGCGACTCCATGAACTTGCACGTCACTGCAGTCAAGCTGATTGGACAGTAGTTTTTGAGTTGTCTTCTGTCTCTTTTTTTTAATGGGCACAAACGCGGCCAGTGTCCAATCATGGGGAACACATCCTTCGTCTTAAGACTTGCAACAGATGGAAGCAAGCAATGATGGAGTTGGCCGACTCAGAAGTGACGACTCAACTTCTGTCGGACCAGTTCTGGATAGATGGACACATTGCTGATGTTGAGTGAAGCTTGCTGCTGGGCGAGTTCAGGAACTTCATGTCGTAAACCGGAGTGACAATGATGCCCAGGGTGACTTTGATCATAGACCAGTTTCAGGCCTAAAATGAACATTTTGCCGCTGTGATCTGCATTTTCTATGCCAATGGTCAAATAAAGCAATCGCATTATAACAAACACTTTGGTCCCAATCAAAACAATCATGTTGACAATTGATGTCACAGCTTGTTTTTTTTTTTTTTTTGTCTTTAGCATGGAGTATGAATTCACTAGCATCTCCAGCAAAAATAATGGTAAAGATGAAAAAGACCCAGATAAAGAAAGAGAAAGCAAAGGCTTAGAAACTGAGGATGGAGGATGAGTATTGAGCTGCTCTATCTGTGGTAATTGGAGCATCAACAGAAAGTGAAAAAAGACAATCAACTGGGAGGGGCATGAGCAGTGTGGCAAGTGGTCCCACAGCCACCAGTAGACAAAGTGTGTTGTAGGACAGGACAGGTAGCCTGTGGCTTAGGACATCTGTGACTGTTACCTTATCTTGAAGTCAGAGATTAAAGAAGCTATTTTTGCTGCTTATAGCTCTGTAATGTGAGTTTAGAACTGGAGCTTGCAACTTAAAGGGACCCTCCCACCTTCAAAAAAGTTAATGAATTGGCACGAAAGTGATGTCGCTCGGTTCAGAAAGAGCGAAAACGAATATCTACCAAATTTCATCGAAAAATATTCACCGGTTTTCAAGATATTAGACTTTTACTTTTGTTTACTTTTTGGGATCTCCGCTGTTCCTAGCGACTTTATTTGAAAGTGCGGCATTTGTTGCGCGGAAAGCAGCATATACCACCGCGTGCTACCAAACGTTTTAGTAAAAGATTTAAAAATCGTTAGATCTCCGCTGACGTCACAAATTCTAAGGGGGCATACCAATGCACTAGCCCCTTAGAATCCGAAAACTGCAAGTTTGAAATTCCATATCTCCGAATTAAAGCATTTGTCGATGTTGTGAGTGCCCAAACCGGTATTTGCAGGCCATGGCCACCAATTTGGCTATCTCAACTCAAAACTAATGTTAAGGTGGGAGTGTCCCTTTAATTTTAATACCTCAATGATTCATAGATAGTTTTGCTGTAAAATGTGTGAGTTTTTGTCAAGCAAAGCCTTTTATTTTATTTATAACATGTAAGCTTATCACACAAGCCCTTTCTGAGGGCTCCTATGGCACATATAAGGTGCCTTTAATATAGTGATCATAGTTACCCTGACCTCTGGGTGAGAATGATCATGTTTTTTGTGAAAAAATAAAATATTTATGATAAATTTCAAAACATTTAACCCTCGCCCGTAAACGGTGTTTTGCCACCTTCGCCCATGCAGGAGGGGGGGGGGGGGGGTTGGTGCGACCCCCCACCCTGGCGTTTGAAAACGGAGCGTCGTAGAGCTTAGCGGAAAAGACCAACGGATTGCTCTCAACGAGATCTCGCGATTGGTGGTATATTTTTTGGTCCTAGGTCAACATTTGACCTACTTATGACCGGTCAAAGGTCAAATTTTCGGAAAAATCTAACTTTTTCAGATTTCCGCGCCGATTGCGGCAAAACGGTAAGAGATATCGACTTGAAACCTTCATTATCATGATCCTTGATCAATTCTCTATCGTTTGGTGTGTATTTCGATGTCATAACTCTAAACATGATGCGTTGGGAGCATCGGAAGTCTGCAAGGTCATTTGTGCATTGGGTCACGTCAGGCGTGTGACGTCACTGACCTGACCCTGACCCAAAATGAACTACAAGAAACAACCGACGATGCCTGAAATGGATAGCAAATTCGAATTCAGGGCATCAAAATACCCCAAAAGGCATAAAAGTGCAAGAAGTCATTACAGGTCAACCGAGGTCACTGACCTGACCTTGACCTTTAGTAACCTTGAAAAGGTCAACAGACATTGTGCCAATGTCAAATCAGCCAGTTATGATTCTAAAACAATCCATCAGTGTGTCAGGTCAGTCGGCATTTGCACCAATGTGAAGCAATCTCCAATTTCGCGTAAATCTGGCCGGAGGTTGTTCCCTTTATGACGTCATAACTCCGTGACCTGACATGACCTTGACAAAAAAATACCAAAAGTTGCGCAAAGGATGCCCCATAGGGTACTGAAAATTTGAGCAGGCTATCTGAAACGGTTCGGCGTGTAGCTAAGAAAAACCTCAGGGGGGGGGGGGGTTGCACCAACCCCCCCCCCCCTACATGGGCGAGGGTTAAAGTACTCAGTTAGATAGAGCATTGTCTAATTGGTATGATGAAACAGTACCCCAGTTTGCTTTGCTTCTCAGTAGTGAAGACACTGGAGAAGTAGGTAGTCGTTCAAAATGTCAGCCTTTGCTGAGTCGTCACTGACTGGCCTGTCATCAGGGTCAAGCAGATCTTTGATGTCCGTCCTCACTTTCAGACGTGAATTTGTGTACTGTCAGCATTCAGCAGGCTGTTGGGCGGGGCCCAGGCCACTTGGGCCGCTCGCTCCAGTACCTGCACCAGATCAGCCGTCTCCCCTCCAGGCGTGCCAACAGTGCCCAGACAAGAGGTGCACATTGCCCCACCGCACTCTGCACCGTGTGCCGAGAAGAGGCTGAAGTGTCAGAGAACATACGGCTCCGCTGCCCGGCCCTTGGGCTCGCAGATGCCCGCCAGACTCGAACATCTGCTTCACCGATTTTTGTGGCCCCAGAACTTCCTGCAAGGACCTTGTTTCACGCCTGACGCTACAGTGAGCTAAGGGTATTGTGGTATTAGGTTTCAATGGAAATAAAAGCTTATTCGAATGCTCAAACATTGGAGCGTTCGAGGCCCCATAATGCTCTGTCTGGTTGATATAGCCTTGGACGGTAAATGTCATATTTAAGTGGCTTATTTTTGACGCAAACAAGCACCCATTTCTTCGCGCAAATCATGCAGAACTTTCAGCGCAAAATCGGCTGCGCCAAGTTTCGGCGCATGAGGGTCTCACGAGCGTCCAGCATAGTGTATGGATGTTTTCCAGTCCGGCATGCAGGTAGTTAAAATTGTACGTTTTTATGAAAAAGACATCAAGTTAAATTGTGAAAATTTACCTTAATTCAAGCCGCTTTCAAGCAACCGAATATCCAGCGTCGTCGCCTCATATGTTGTATTGCAGCACTATTGCAGGTTATATGGCCTTGTATTGCAGCATAGCGAGGAGGAGATTGAAAAGAGAAATTTCAAAATGGCGAAGGCCTTGATATGACGTCATAGAACAAAATGAGTTTCTATTTATGGTACTTTGTTTTTTCATTCAGTCAGAGTGAATGTGAACATGAAAGCATCCGCTTGAAAATACAAAGTGCAGTAAAAGCGGGAACCGAAATACCTGAAAAAATGTTTAAAAGGCTTTCGAATCAAAACCAAATCAGACTCTAAAGTCTTTTACGTAAACAATTTTCAATTATGCAAATATTTATCACATTTGTAACAGTCGCACCATATATGAATCAAAATATTGAAATGAAATCTACCTCTAAATTATTATTAGCTTTAACTTTTTCGAGAGTGGAAATGTTTCGAGTAAAATTCTTGCATTTCTGAATTTTGATCGTCTGGTATTTAGGTAAATGATATCGTGTTGATATGTTGGGTGCTTGCTGGATATGTAGTGATTCATGCCTAACCAAAATAAGCAAGTGTCTTAGATAGATACTACAGGGCCTTGGATACTACCCCCAGTCACGGTCATACTAAGTTCTACCCTTAGCGATATTTCTTAGGAGCGTTCAGCGTGCCGGGTCAGGGTGTGAAGACCCAAGGTGAAGACCGGTTTCGGTGAACGAGCGAGAGTGCTGAAAATCTAGTTTCTTCACGACTTCTTTGCTCAATGCTCAGTCATGCGTCTGTTAGCTTTCTAGACAACTGAGGTCGGAGTGATTAGTTCCCTTGCCTTGGCACTCAAGTCGGCGCTGTCTTTGGAGAAGCTGGGGCGTCGATCAGCGGAAGCCTGGAAGGCGTTTTGGTCCTCAAAATTTAAGTGGTAAGTAAATGGGCACTCACAGCTCTCTCTCTCTCTCTCTCTCTCTCTCTCTCTCTCTCTCTCTCTCTCTCTCTCTCTCTCTTTCCTTCTCTCTTCCCCCCTTCTCTCTCTCTCTCTCTCTCTCTCTCTCTCTCTCTCTCTCTCTCTCTCTCTCTCTCTCTCTCTCTCTCTCCCCCCTCCCTCCAGCTCCCTCCCTCCCGGCTCCCTCTCCTCCTCAGTCCTCATCCCCTGTCCTCTGACAGTCTGACCAGAGTTCAGACTTCATTACCCATACAGAAACAATGGTCCAACCATCTTTTATCCTTTCTCCTCCACCTCTCCCATCTCCATGAATTCTCTCTTCTTCACCACCTCCTTTTTCTTTTGCCCCTCTCATTTCTCCATCACATCATTCTCACCTTAGGCTTAGGTACCTACTACCTCTGAATTTCATCTCTCTCTCTCTCTCTCTCTCTCTCTCTCTCTCTCTCTCTCTCTCTCTCTCTCTCTCTCTCTCTCTCTCTCTCTCTCTCTCTCTCTCTCTCTCTCTCTCTCTCTCTCTCTCTCTCTATCTCTCTCTCTTTCTCTTTCTCTTTCTCTTTCTCTCTCTCTCTCTCTCTCTCTCTCTCTCTCTCTCTCTCTCTCTCTCTCTCTCTCTCTCTCTCATAAATAATATTGCTGTTTTTTAGGCTAGTAATGCTACACTAACTTTTTGTGTTATGTAGTTCAATGCTCATGGTCGCTCCTGTGTTTTATGAGGACTCTGGGCGCTGTCCGCCATGCTGCTGCTCCTGCCAGTCCTCCTGCTACTGACCAGCCAGACGGCAGCCGATTCGGATGTCTCTCACACGCAGCAGGTGCTCGTTCTCGGCGGCAACGGTTTCATCGGCGCCGAGAGCGTCACGGCGCTACTGCGCCAGAAAGGGCGCTACAACGTGACGGTCGTGAGCCGCGGCTCGGAGCGCTACGACGCGCGTGACCGCGTGCTGCAGCACGTGCGCCAGCTCAGGTGTGACCGCTACACGCCGTGCCGCCGCTGTCCGAGCGGTAACCCGCTGCTGGGCTGCGAGGAACTGATGGCTGCCCAGAAGGAGGTGACTCAGTGGGATTTTGTCATAGACTTCAGCGGCTATGACGCCGACGCCGTGAGCCAGGCACTGGACGCGCTGGCAGAGAAGATGAAGTACTATGTGTTCATCAGCTCCGACTCTGTGTATGAGGTGAGTGGTGAGATAGTGCCAGTGGTCCTATAAATAGGTCATTTTTAGTTACTGTCTACTGCCTCTCGATAGGCGTTCACTTTCTACATTCACGTTCACCGGCTCAACAAAAAGTACCTATAACTTTGCACCACTGATCGTTTGAGCCTACCTACCTATTTTTGACATCTTATCCTTTTACGACTAGGCGTCGTTGACTGAATTATATGAGCCAGCTGCGACCCATACTGATGTTTTCTCGTCGTGCATGGCCCCGATTGACCGGTATTACCTGGCACTCCCTCTCTCCCTCCCACCTTTGCCGCCAGGTGTGTGAGCCGAGCACGGGCGTGCTCTCTCACGAGGAGGCCGCAGTACGTCCGTCGGACCGGCGTCGGCGGCACGACTTGGCCTCCCGCGACTCGTACGGCGACGGCAAGCTGTCGGCGGAGGAGGTGCTGCGCGCGCGCGCCGTGCCGCACGTGGTGCTCCGTCTGCCAGACGTGCTCGGTCCGCGAGACACCACGGGCCGCTGGTGGGCCTACCAGCTCTGGGTGCAGTATGCGGGTGTCCTTCGCCGACCGGTGCCCATCCCACCCTCAGTACGCACACTCCGCACTAGTTACGTGTTTGTCTCGGACGTGGCACGCGCGCTAACAGCCGCGCTGAACCGCTCCAAGGAAGTCAACGGGAAGGCGTTCAACCTGGCGCTGGACCGCGACTTCCGTCTGGCGGAACTTCTTGGTGAGATAGCGCGTGAGCTAGGTGTGCACAGTGTGGTGACCCGGGAGGTTAACAGTGAGAACGTGGCGCGCTTCTTTCCGTCCGTGTACCGCGGTCCGGTGAGCTGGCGGCGCGCCCGCGAGCAGCTCGGCTTTGAGCCCACCCCTTGGCCGGAGGTGCTGTCCGAGACTGTGCGATTTTACCGGCGGGCACTGGTCAGATTCCCCGAGGAGCGGCGCAGGGTGTTCAGTGTGCTGGAGAGTATATTCGGAGATGATCCCGATGTGCAGCGACGGCTCGTGGAGAGCATCGAACGTGACCTGTTGGACGCCTCTTTTGGAAAGAGGGACGATGGGGAGGTGGGAGAGAGTGGGGAGGGTTTGGCGACGGAGGGCGGGGAGGGAAAGGATGAGCTGTAAATGTGAAGTCGCCAGTAGGGAAGTTATTCGTGCAACTCATCGAGCTTGAGTTTGGGTACAACTTATGTGATGTGGGTTATGTGATGCCTACTGGTCTTCATATTTGTTGTTTATATCTGGTGCCTTGTTGTGTGGCCTTGTAGCACGTTTTCTTATTTTTGTTGTAAGTGAGGCTGTTCATATTTTTATACCTACTGACGATGACCACATTTCTGGTGGTTTTGTATTTTTATAGGGAATGGGTTAGGTGCCAGTGCAATTAATTACACTGTGAGTAGGCATGGTATGCCTTGTCTGAAACAGAGCTTATATACACAAAAAAATAAACATTTCTATCAGACGATGTGAGGACTTTCAGGGCGTTGCGAGCGCTCCCTGTCGATGATAGGACAAGTAGGTATGGCAGGTCAGGTATAAGCAAGATTGGTATGAGTGGCGACACTCCAGGCCCTCCAGACCAATGCATCCGAATTTGAATTATGAATGTTTCAGGTGGTCTTAGAAGCTTGCAATTGCAACATTTTCTACTACCCATTTTGTTTACAAGTGACTTTTCCGATCATCACAATCGATGATCAATGATCATCGCAAAAACCGATGCGTAGGTTTGTAGGTTATAAACAAAACAACTAAGACGAGCCTTCTTGGCTTTGAGAATCACGCATCAAAACATCGCGTAGCTTTCAAGGTCATCCACTGGTAATACTCGTGAGCTCTGAAAATTTGTCTTGAAAATTTCTTGACGCACAAAATGACGTACCAATATTTGCTCCCACATGAGAAGCACATGCAAAGCTCCCGGATGCAATTCAAAATGACGTCATTGGGTGTGGAGTCACAAGCAGCTTGTCAAGCTTGAGATATTTGCGTCACTATTTTTGCGTACCTTGACTGCGACGTACTGACTTCTCTGTTGTGTGTTTTCTGCACGGTATATGTAAATAGGAAGGTTGTTCTGATATATGAAGGATATTTATCTAAAAGGGTTGGCTTGTTTGTTGTTAAAGGGACCCTCCCACCTTCAAAAAAGTTTATGAATTGGCATGAAAGTGATGTCGCTCGGTTCAGAAAGAGCGAAAACGAATATCTACCAAATTTCACCGAAAAATATTCACCGGTTTTCAAGATATTAGACTTTTACTTTTGTTTACTTTTTGGGATCTCCGCTGTTCCTAGCGACTTTATTTAAAAGTGCGGCATTTGTTGCGCGCAACGCAGCATATACCACCGCGTGCTACAAAACGTTTTAGTCAAACATTTAACGGACGTTCGAAAGCCTGATGACGTCATCAGATTCCCGTAATGGTTAAAGGTATTATCAGGGTTTTTTCCGAAATTTCGGAGTTACTCAGTGAAACGTGTAGAAGAAGGTGGCTGAGGCCCCAATCCGAAGTCATTCGTCTCAAAATTGCCTAATTTCCAAATGTAAGTGGTAGGGTTAAGGCATTGTAGAATTTTGCAATTTCATATTTCCATACAGAAGTGAGGATAAGGTCAGCCGGATGCGCATACTTCTCTAATTTCCAAATGGTGGGCCTCCAAAGTTGATCCGTCTGCCAGCCAGTACCTGGAGGAGGCAGTACCAAGTACTCGGATACATTTCCCTATAAGTCCATAGGCTTTAACACTAGCTAGAGACTTCTAGAGATATTTTGTATGCCAGATAAGGCCGTCGCATACCAGATAAGGCCGCAACGGCCGTTCAACGTTACGTGGGGAAATGGGAGAAATCTAAAGACTTTTTTTTCTCTGACGTCTCCACTCCAATATCTAGCGCAACTGGCAAGCGACAGGAGTTCATTACTTGACTGGTGTTCTTCAATTTATAGCTATTTGTTGTTTATTTTTTCGACCTAACATTTTTCTAGCAATGTTTTTTCTATTTTATTTTTGAAACGAACCACAGTTCATCTTGAATGTGGCTCAGGAAGACTTAGTAATGAAACTTCAGTGATATATAGCCATGAAGAATCTTGGATGGAACTACAGTGGTGAATTGAATTTATCATAATTGGATGTTCAATGTGCTGAACCTATCAATAATTCAAGTCATGCATTGTAAAATTTGTGATGCAGAACACAGTTTATCAAGTGAAGAAAATTTAAATACAAAGCTGTTCCTATTTGAATGTTCAAGACTTGTGGGCTTCGTAGCCAGTGCGTGTAGCTTCTAGACATCCTGTGGGTTATCAAAATAATTAAATTGTGTTGTGTGCTTTCAAACTAAGCTCATCCCGAGTGTAATTCAAGAATCCTTAGTTCAAGTAATTAAACTTGAAAGTGATATAGCTCAAGCAATGAAGAAGCTTGGATGGAACTAGTGTTGAATCAAAGTTACCTATCTATATCTATATTATGAATTATAACATGTCCGTGCGTGCGTGCGTGCGTGCGTGCCTGCGACTGTCATGCCTTATGTGTCTTATTGCGCCTGAAAGGCGCCGCGTATCGACGTGAAATTTGGCATGCCGAATCGGTGGGTTGATGTGACCACTGTATTAAAATTTGGGACGGATTGGCCCAGGGGTGCGCCGTCAGCACGCGCTCGCGTGCGCCATAGGGTTAACACAGGAAACGGCCAAATCGGCGATCAGGTGAAAACCGCCGTGCAGTGCTCCCATCTTGGGCTTATATTTTGGTAACGGATTGGCGTAGCGATGTGGGGTTGCCACCGATGGATAGAGGAGAGATGGTTCTAGCGAATCGGTATAAGAAAAACGTATAGCACGCGTCACGTGCAAGACAGCACCCCCAGTTGTGAAAAAATGACCGATTTCGGGCATTGTAGAAAGAAAACCGATGCCGCTGGAAAACGGCTTGACGGAATGAAATCGGTGTTGTATCATTTTGCAGACAACTGTATGTGTAATCAGATAATAGCAAACAAAAACTGATGATCCGTACCATTTCCTTAATAATGAAAAATTAATTTCAAAATTTGATTCGCGCGGAATGCGATGTCCTTTACAACATCAAAACGTATTGAAAACGCTGACCAATGGCTATGAAACCTACATATTCGGAAAGAGCATTCTTTTCTGACCAATATCCACCCAAAATATTATCGAAAAGTCAATAAATTTTCGTGAAAATGACTCAAGCATGTGACCGTGTTTTGTTAACGTTACCGGTATTTTTTCGACAAAATCCGATCGATGGCTTATTATGGCCGGCAAGTCATTCAACTTTTGGCAATAGCTATCAAAGCATGGGCTGCAATGCACCGCCCGCAAAGGGGAATTCCAAACACTGAAAATAAGCGCCTACCAGTAAACAGAACATTATTGTACCAGGAATAACTCAGCTACTACTGGGCCGATTGCGCTGAAACTTGGACTGTGGGTGGATGGGGCACTAACCTGGTGATGTATGGTCATTTGTGTCAGGTAGGGTGGATCGATTGCACGTGCGCACGTGAGGGGTCCACTTATACATCTCAAGAACGGCTGGGCCGATTTCGCTCAAATTTTGTACACCGTTAGGAACAATTTAGAAAGGTGGCTGGCACAAGTCATCTAGAGTCTCAGTTAGCGCGTGCGCACGTGCAGCGGGCCGCTTTTATATCTCAAGAACGGCTGGGCCGATTGCGCTCAAATTTGGTACATTACTTTAATCGAGTATGAGAAGGGTAACTACGTGTAGGTTATGAGTAAGGTAGGGTGTGGGTTGGGTAGGGTAGGGTAGGGTAGGGTAGGGTAGGGTAGGGTAGGGTAGGGTAGGGTAGGGTAGGGTAGGGTAGGGTAGGGTAGGGTAGGGTAGGGTAGGGTAGGGTAGGGTAGGGTAGAGTAGGGTAGAGGTAGGGTATGTACATTTGTAGGTTAGGGTAGGGTTTTTAGCGGCGTTTCCGGTGGCGTATTACGGCGTTTCCGATTGGCGGTGGTCGGGCGTGCGATGCGGGCGGTTTTCTTTTTTTTGAGGTTATATTTTTTCATACAAATAAAAATATAACCTCATGCATCAAACTAATGGTCCCATGAACAATAGCCATCGAAACGTACAGTTATCGCGTGTATCCATCCATCCATCCTGGGTATGGTAGGGTATTGTAGTGTATGTTAAGTTTGAGTGCATAAGGGCCCAACATCCGAAAGACTCAAACAACCCCGGGTAATCAGCACCAGCATACCATACAGTTCAATTAAAACCAAATGTCAAACTTCACCTAGCTCATACAAATTAAAATGTAACCTCATACACCCAAACTAATGGCCCCATCAACAACATCTATCGAATCTATACAGTTATCGCGCAAACATGGCCATCTAGTCATTTTTAATGCTAAGTGCTGAACCTTACCAATAATTCGAGACATCCGTTGTAAGATGTATGACGCAGATCAACTTTGATCAAGTAAAGAAAATAGATTTCAGATGAAATAATGTCAATGTTCAAGGCTGGGCGACTGGCAGATTTAGGAGTGAGCACAAGTGGCCTTGAGACATTCTGTTTCTGTAGGTACTCAAAATAAATAAATTATCATGTTGTGTGCTTTGAGGTTAAGCGTTATCAGTGGTGCTTCATGGTTGTGCTTTGTTGTTGGTGTATGGGCATGTTTTGAGCACATTGCAGCATGATATTGGTGGTGTGTATAGCAACTGATCTCCGCAGACTTTGCACTTACTTGCAAAGCCTGCGGACTGACTTTGCAGACTTTGGCTGACAATGAGCAATGCATTGCTGACTGATATCATTTATTCTGTGTTTGTAGCACAAAGTACAGAAGTGGCACATACATTGTTACTTCGAAAACCTGATGTGAATTTTGATGTAGAAAACTGGTGGCTGACGTTGAGTCCTGACGTATTGTGAGTAGTGTACAGCTGGTGCATTGAGCACAGACTTGAGACCAGTGACGTTTGTATCAGTAGACTGTGTTTGAGTCTACTTATATGGGTAGTCATAAAGCAGGCGTCACACTTCTTTTTGCAACCAAGGAGAAGCGCTATACCCAGAGATGCTTTCTCATCAAACCTTACCAAACCAAACCTAACCAAACCTAACCTTACCTACAACCTAACCTACAGCGCCTCTCTTCGTTCGTTCATGGTTGCAAAAAACAAGTGTGACGCCTACTATACTACTACCCTATGGCCTTGGTTTGAGTGTGGTGACCGAGTAAGCTGGTGTGTATAGCCATGCAATAAGTGTTTTGAAATATATTTTTGGGACAGTATTGAAATGGTGTGTTTTGGCCATCTGGCATGGATGATGGAAAGCCACTAACTCAACTTCAGGAACGCTTCTTCATTATGCTCATCTAAAGCACAATCATCTATTTTCTCTTCGCAAGGATTGATTCCTAATGCACTGTCAATTATAACCTGGGCCAGAAGGTTTCGCTGGGCCCACACGGTTCATACAGATTCATCCACAGTGCTCAGCAGTGCATGTTTTCAGATTTCAACAGACTGTAATTTTTTTCTGTATGTAGGTACATATGCATCATGCAAGGGTACAACAGATGCGGTATTTGGTAAGCAGTTGGCAGCAAGGTGGTGTTGGTACTTATTGGCAGAACCAGTTGAGCAGGACTAAAACTATCCTAGGCTAGTTTCTCTCCAATTTACTCAGATCCATCTCAACACATTTAACATATTGAAAGCGTCCATCCATGAAGATGTCTGCATGTATACTCATTTCCGAGAAGGCACACTCGTCGCTCATCCATTGCCGAGCAGGCACGTACGTGCCCATCGCCGGCGCGCATTAGCGCGCGTCCATGGCTGGGGCGCACGCGCGCGGCCATGGCCGGCATGCACGCGCGCGCGCCCATCGTCGGCACGCACGCGCGCGCGTCCCTGGTCGACACGCAAGCGCGCGCGCGTCCATGGCCGGCGCGCGCGCCGCGTCCGTACCCGGCGCGCACCCGCGCGCGTCCACAGCCGGGGCGCACCCAAGCGAGCTCGTACCCGGCACGCACCGGCGCGCATCCATAGC